GGATGTGGCGTGGGACGGAGACCTCTGGAGCACCCTGGGCTTTGGTGAGGTGAGGGGATGTGGAGAGAGCCCCGAGTCCTCTCCCTGCCTGGGCAGAACCGTGTGTCAGAGTGCCTCAAGCCCCCCTGACCTCACTTCACCCACCCCACCCTACAGCCCTGGGATCCCAGGAACTCACTGGGGCTGTGGTGCAGCCAGCCCAAGGCAGGGGGGTGCTGGGTGCTCACCTCCACATCCGTCAGGAAGTGGATGGCCTCCGGCAGTGTCACCAGGCGGTTCTTGTTCAGCACCAGCTTCCTCAGCTTGGAGCACCTGTGGAACAGCGATGCTGGTGATGGGCCAGCCCAGGGTGATGTCCTGTCACCACACAGTCTGTGTGTCCCCTCTTGGGATCCAGCTGTGGGCTTTTCCTACCTGCACAGGCTCTCGGGGATGAGCTCCAGATTGTTGTTGGCTGCCATGAACTCCTCGAGGTTGGTGAGCTTGCCAATGCCGGAGGGGATCCCGTCAAAGTCCAGTTTATTGGAGTTCAGGTACATCTTCTTCAGCTTGGTCAGCTTGCAGATGGCCGACTGGGGAAGGGGGAGAAGGCAGGGTGAGGGAGAACCATGGAGGCACGGGCAGGGATGGCACATATGGAAAGGGACATACAGGTAAGGAGGTGAGCGCGTTGCGGGACAGGTTGAGGGTCTCCAGCTGGGTCCACTGGTCGATGCAGAGGGACAGCTCCGTGATCTGGTTGCTGCTGAGGTTGAGGCGCCGCAGGCTGCCCAGGGTGTAGAGGCACTCGGGGACACGGCTGAGGTCATTGCAGGACAGGTCCACGTCTGGGGGATGAGACAACACGGTGACAACAGCAGCCAGACCCATACCAGGGCTGGGAGAGCCCCTGCAGGGCTCCATGGGGCCCCGGGCCTACCTGCCAGGTTCACCAGGCCCTCGAGGCTGGTGGGCAGATTGCTCTGCGTGCGCTGGGTGTTCCGGAGGTGGAGGGTCTGCAGGGCTGTCATTGCTGGGAGCTGCCTGCGGAGCACAGGCCAGGGAGAGCCTCAGGATGGATGGAGCAGGCACCAGCAGACTGGGATCCAGCCTGAAAAGCAGGGTCTTACCGGAGCTGTGCGTGCAGGAGGGGGTTGTTGTTGAGGATGAGGGTCTGGAGGTGGACCAGGCGTCTCATCTGCGGCGGGAGGCTCTCCAGCTTGTTGTCACTCAGGTCAAGGTACAGCAGGTCGGTCAGGTTGATGAAGAGCTGGTTGGGGATGGTGTCGATGCTGTGGGAATATGGGGATGTGCAGGGCTGCCTGGGAGCTGCACCAGCCCCGGGCCTCCTTCGAGGAGGGGCAGAGAGCAGCACCCGGTGACAGAGGGAGGTGGCCGTGGCCAGGGGGAGATGGGAGATGGGCACCTCGGGTCTGGACCCACCTGTTGTGGCCGAGGTTGAGGACCAGCATGTTCTTGGCATTCTCCAGCTCCCGGGGACACTCCGTGAGCTGGTTGTAGCTCAGGTCCTGGGAAACATGGGAGCACAAAGCAGGTGTCACCCCCAGCCCTGCATCCAGCCACCACCTCCCAAACCTGAGGAGTGAGGGGCATCTCTGGGGGCACTGCAGCAGGAGCTGGATCAGCATATGGGGAACCCAGCTATGGCTGGAGGCACTGCCAAAGGGTCATCCAGCCCATAGGCAGCTTCCCTGGAGCTCAGGCATGGACTCGAGGAGCACGAGGGGACACTGAGGTGCAGGAATGGGATTCAGGAGGAGACTCTGCACCCACCAGCACCGAGAGGTCATCCAGCTGGAAGATGTCATCAGGGACTCCTGAGTTCTTTAGGCTGTTTGCACGAGCCACGATGGCCTGGAAAGGGGAGATGGGCAGGAATTCAGCCGCCTGCTGAGCATCCCAAGGCGGCCAGGTATGATCCTTGTGTGCCCCCAGATCCAAGAGGTGCCTGAGGACACCTGGTGCAGGAGGGGGACACTCACCCGGAGGCAGGGCAGGCCGGAGAGCTCTCCATGGAGCGTGGTGAGGCTGTTGTGACTCACGGAGAGATGTTCCTGCAGGGAAGACCCAGACAAGCCCCAGTGAGAGGAGCCAGGGCTGCTCAGAGCAACAGTTGGGACCCCACATGGGTGTGGGGGCTCCTCCATTCCAAAAGAACTGGGGACTTGGAAGCCCTGACCCTCACAGGGCTGCTGGGACACTCCCAGTTTCAAACTGGTTGTTTGGCCCCAGAGTGCCCCTGCTGCCCTCACATCCTTCATTCCTGGGGTAGCCTTGGCTGGGACACCCCAGCCCTGCTCTGGGATGCCACTGGGCTGGCCTGTGGCAGTCCCACACAGTCCCTGAGCAAACAGATCCCAGTCCTTGGAAACGGGAAATCAACACTTCTCACAGGGTGACCTGGAAACGGGGAAGATGTGGGGGTAGGTGGGGGGTGGGAGGAATCTCCCAGGGGAAATGTTTTCCTCTGGGTATCACCAGCCCGGCTGTTGCCTGCTCAGGAGAAGGAGGAATTGGCAGGCTGTGGGCGGGATGCCAGGATTTAAGGATTTAAGTCTCGCCGTGTCCCCCGAGCATGTGGCAGGGCCAGGGGGAGCGCGGCTCCAAGCAGCAGGGAGGGATTCCCTGCACCTGGCACAGGGATGGGGACTCCTGGCAGCGTTTAAAGTGCTGTGTTTGTCTGACTGAACCAACTGAAAGAGGTTCCTGAGGTGCTCCTGGACACCACCAAAGCAAAGCTGAGCCACGGGCTCACCAAGGAGCTCCAGCAAGGAAGGGCCTGGTAGAGCCACTCAAAAAACAAAGGCAGGCAGCTGCCAGCTCCTGCTCCTTATATATTTCAGCAGAAGAGGAGGAAGAAAAAGCCCCAAAACCTTAATTCTCTCCACACTAACCATCCCCCTTCCCATCTGTTAAGGGGCATAGGATCTAAGCATGGTTTTTCCTCTGGTTTTCTAGGAAAACAAGGTGAAACCAACTACCAGCCTGTCTCAACCCCACTCCTGACAGCTCCTGCATCTGATTTCAACCACACGTCGTAGCTCAGCCCTATTATTAGACACTGGAGCATCCGCCAACGAGCCACAGGGCTGGCAGGGAGCAGGCTCCCATCGGATCCCACGGCTCCAGCGGGACAGTGGAGCCCCATTCCCTCCTGAAACGTGGGGCTCACCAGCTTCTGGAGGGCAGCGAGCTCCTCGGGCAGGTAACAGAGTCCTGTGCGGTTCAGCTTCAGCCAGCGCAGGCTGGTCATGGCCTTCACGTGCTCCGGGAAGTACCCGCCCTGCGGGAGGAGGAGGGTGAGGAGACCCCCTGCCCCGTGGGGTGGGGAACTGGGGACCTCACTCTGACCGGCCCTGTGTGCCTGGGATTGTCCATTACTATGGGATCAGGAGTTGGGGGGGCTGGGATCATCCAATCCCATAAGGTTGGGAACTGGGGGACTGGGGGCTGTGGGGCTGAGATCACTTAGTCCTATGGGATTGGGAGCTTGAGGGGGTTGGGATCACCCAGTCCTATGGGACTGGGAGCTCGGGGCCATGATGACCCAGTCCTATGGGATTGGTAGCTGGAACCACCCAGTACTATGGTTTTGGGGGTGAGGGACCAGGATTGTCCAAGCCCATGGGATTGGTAGCTCGGATCACACAGTCCCATGGGATTGGGATCTGGGGGACCAGGATCGCCCAGTCCTATGGCATTAGGAGTTGGGATCACATAGTGCCATGGAATTGGGAACTGGGGTTCGGGATCACCCGCTTTCATGGGACTAGGATTTGGAGAGGGTTGGGATCACCTAGTTCTATGGGATGGGGAACTGAGGGGCTGGGATACCCCAGCACTGTGGGGCTGGGGGTCAGAATCCGCCAGTCCAATGGGATTGGGAAGCAGAGGATCAGGGACCACCTGTCTCTCTGGGACCCCATGGGGGCCCGCAGGTTGCCCAGCCATAGAGGGTGGGGGCTCAGGGACCGCCCACCCTGGACACCAGCCCCGCTGTACCGGGATTCCCCAGCCCGGGGGGGCCGGACCGGGCCTGACAGCGCCGCGCGGGGCCCGGGCTCGCCGATCCCTGTGGCCGGGGCGTCCCCGCTCCCACTCCCGTTCCCTCTCCCCCGCACCTTGAAGTCGTTGCCGCTCAGGTCGACGCCGCGCACGAAGGGCAGGACTCCGGTGGCCGCCATGGCGGAGGGACGGGACGGGACGGGAAAGGAGGGGCGGGGGGACCCTGCGGAGCCGCGCCCTGACAGGCCCCGCCCCCGGCCCCGCCCCGGCCGTGACGCGCGAAAGCGATTGGGCGGGGCCGGGAGCCACTTCCGCGCGCGGGTGGGCGGGGCCGGGCCGGGCCGCGCCCCCATTGGCTGAGGCGGGGGGCGCGCAGTAAGTGCGGGGGGGGCCGGACCCGCTCCCTGTCCCTGTTCCGGTCCCGCTCCCGGCGGTGCCGCGGCCCGGCCGCCTCCCCCCGGGCAGCGGGGGGGTCTCCGTCCCGGTCCCTCCTGGAGCCCGCGGTACCGCCCCAGCGCCGCCGGTGCCCTCTGGGGCGGCTGCGGCAGGGCCGGGTGAGGAGCGGGTGACCCTTCCCCGGCATGAGCGGTTTTTCCCCGCGGTGTCCCTTCCTTCCCCAAAATGTCCTTTCCTTCCCTAGGGTGTCCCTTCCTTCCCTAGGGTGTCTCTTCCCCGGGATACCCGTTTTCCGGGGTGTCCCTTCCTTTCCTGGGGTGTCCGTTCCCCGGGGCTCCCCTTCCTTCCTTGGGTTGTCCCTTCCTTCCCTCGGGTGTCACTTCCCCGGGATGCCCCCTCTTTCCCTGGGGTGCCCATTTTCCCTGGTGACCCTTCCCCGGGGTGACCCTTGCCCCTCCGCCCCACCCAGCCGTCCCGCCGCCGGCAGGAGCCTTTGCCCCGGGGGTGGAGGGAAGCGGGACGGCGGAACCTCCCGCCCCCCCAAAAAACCTCCCTCCCCGCGGGCTGTGCCTCCGCGGCCCCGGGTGACCCCCGTTGTTCCCCGCAGGGCGGCCATGGCGGCGTTCTGGCAGCAGCGGGGCCGGCGGCAGGAGCACGGCGGGCTGGGCGGTCTCATCGACGGGCTGGGCAGCGTGTTCGATGTGCTGCTGGCCAACGCCAGGCTGGTGCTGGGCGTGAGCGGCGCGGCCGTGCTGGCCATCGCCACGCTGGCCGTCAAGAGGGTAAGGCTGGCACCCACGGGAGCAGGGTCAGGGTTGCTGCCTGGGTCCCCAGCGTGGTGGGGAAAGATGTGCCACAAACCTGGCTGGCTGCTCCCGAGCTGGTCCCTCGCGTTTGGCACAAATGCCCACCGGTGCTGGCAGCAGTGTTGTGGGCGTGGAGCTGCCCATTCCCACCGTGAACAGCCCCGTGCTCCATTTGCCTGGAGCAGCATGCACCTGGGATGCAGTATCCCATCCAGAAAGGCACCTGGGGCTTAAGACATATTTGGGCACCTGTTTTCCACTTAAAATCCACGGGAAGAGGATGTGCACTTTTGTGGCCCTCCAAACTGGGTGTTTTTCCAAGTGGAAGCCCCACGTGGGGCTGTGTCCCCCCCTTGTGTGCACCAGAGGGGCTGTTGTCACCTGCAATTCAGGGGAAACAAAGATAACGACTTATCCCTGTGGGTTTTCCTTCTCTCCAGCTGATCGACCGAGCCACCAGCCCTCGGGATGAAGGTGATCCCAAAGCCGAGCAGAAGACCCTGGAGGAGACCTGGCAGGACTTGGCCTTGATCAAGACTACACCAAAGCCCCCCAAGAAGCAGAGAAGGGAAGACCTCAGCGAGCCCCTGCTCTCCCCAGCTCGGCCACTGGTGCCAGGTGAGGGTGTGCAGCTGGGAAGATCACCTTGCTGTGCTCTGGGCTGGCTGTGCCCTGCTCCACCACTCTGGGAGCCCTGTGTTATTTTTAGCTCGGTGTCCGGGAAGCCGACCCGATGGAGCCTGCCCTCCTGGGAGGCTCCTGAGCCATGGCCCCTTTTTAGGCAATGCCTGTGGAGACAGGAACTCTGATAACACCCTGGGTGTCCTGGCCAGTGCAGCATGGCAGGGGCTGGCGGGGTTTGTCTCCTCTGGAGTGGTGTTGGCTGCCCTCGTTTTCTGGGTCAGCTCTGCCTGCAGGAAGGTGCGCTCGGGAGCTGCTGCAGACAAAGGCTGCCTTGTCCAGCTGCCTACAGAGACGGCATTTTTCCAAGTGGGAAAGCGGCCTGGCTCGGTGCAGGGCAGGTCCTGAGATACTGGACCTGGGGCAGGATCATTTGCAGGACTCTCATGAGGGGCAGCACTGATCTCTTCGCTCTGGTGACCAGTGACAGGACCCGAGGGAATGGCTGGAGCTGTGTCAGGGGAGGTTTAGGATATTAGGAAAAGTTTCTTCCCCCAGAGGGTGGTGGGGCACTGAACAGGATCCCCAGGGCCCTGGAGCTGACAGAGCTCAAGGAGTGTTTGGGCAACACTCTCAGGGACATGGTGGGATGAGCACCCTTGGCTGCAGCAGAAGCTGCTGCTGTGGGTTACAGATGATCTGCCCAGAGCTGTGACTTCTTCCATCCCTTCTCACAGATCCCAGGGCATGCTTTGCCTCTGTGGGGGCTCCTCGGGTGAAGCCCAGCCCTCTGCCCTGCCTCACGCTGCAGGAGAAGCTCCTCTCACACCACAGCAGCCGTCTGGCCGTGCCCGAGATCCAGGTGTCCCTCGTCCCTCAGCTGGCCAGGAGCATCAGCACCCAACTGCAGAACTTCCTGCGGAGCAAGTGCCCAGAGCTGCCCTTCGGCCGCCTCTTCCTCAGCGGAGCCCTCCTGGACGGCCTGGAGGTCCTGGCAGCCGACCACATCCACCTCATGCTGCCCGTGGTCCTCGATGCCGGGCTCTGGAGCCTCATCCCGGGAGAGGACACCGTGGTGAGGAACCCCCAGTACTGGATGATCAAGAGGGTCGACCTGGGGTATTTCCCCCGTGGGTGCAGCCCCTGGGACAGGTTTATGGTGGGCCGGTACCTCTCCTCCAACGTGCTCAACGAGACCCTCCACAAGATGCTGGTGGCCTCCATCAACTGGCCTGCCATCGGCGGCCTGCTGGGGTGTGTCATCCACCCCGTCGTGGCCTCCCGGGAGCTGAAGCTGGAGGTCAAACACGATCAGGTCGAGCTGAGCATCACCCTCTTCCCAGTGGTGGAAATGGAGGACAAGGTTCTTCTGGCTGTTCCTCCTGAGGGACTGGTGGAAAACCTCTGGCTCGAGAGCTTTTACAGGGCAGAGGTCTCGAAGGTGAAGGAGCTGGATGCCGGCGACTCCGGGGCTCGGCAGCGCTGCCTCCGCATCCTGAACGGTGTCTGCAGGAGCCACCCCACCCTGCACAAACTGGGGGGCAGTCCTGTGACCCACGTCATCCTGCACCTCAGTGACTCCGGCTCCGACTGGGCAGAGGAAAGCCTGGCTGACAGGTTCCAGCAGGTGCTCGAGGAGCTGGTGGCCTACCTGGAGAAAGGGGTCCTGCCTTCCTATTTCAACCCCAAAATCAACCTGTTCTCCGGGCTGTTGGAAGAGGAAATCGATGAGATGGGCTTTGTGCTCTACAGGGCCATGTCTGAGCCAGAGCTCCTGCTGGAGTGACCAGTGCGTCGGGAGCTCCTGGATGTGGGATGTTCCTCACCCGCCTGCTGCTCCCTGCTGTGAGGGCTGCCATGCTTCTAGTTGACTAGTCAGTAAGAGGCAAAGTTCTTGCACTACATGACAAAAAAAAAAAAAATGGTTCCTGTGTGAATAAAACGGGCCTGAGCAGAGGTGGGTGTTGGCAGAAGGAGCCTTTGGCTGGGAGGCTCTGCCAAACCCGGGGCGAGGGCAGCCCGAACCTGGAGTACCCACAGGTGAGTCCCGTGTGCTGGGAGCCAAGGGAAGCATGTTTACTCTCTGGTTCCCAGTGTCCTCTGCCTGTCCCAGCTGTCAGGCTCCCCTCGTGCTCCCAGACCAGCTGGAGGGGAGCAGCTCCTTCCTGCTGCTCTGTCCTGCAGGCCCCTCAGGTGCAGTGCCCTGGGTGGGTCCTTTCACCAGCACTTGGTCTTACTGTGCCAGCACTTGGGACAGGGTGGCAGAGCCTCACCTGCCTGTAGGATGTTGCCAATCCAAAATATGCCCTGTGGATGACCTGGGTGGTTGTCTGGGCACTGGGTGGTATGGCCATAGCAAATGGGGCTGGGGGTTTATTCCTTGGAAACCCTTTCAGCTGCCAAAAGGAGTGAGCTCAGCTCTACCTCTTTGTTCCCCCCGAGGAAGGGGTTTGCTTCCAGCACGGAGCTGGGGCTTCATGGCTCTTTTCCCACGCAGTGTTTTGCTGGAAGATGTCCTGAAAAAGAGCTGCTGGCTCTGGGGAGGCTCCTGGTGTCAGTCCCTTGGAGGCTGCAGCAGGGCTGTGTCCCCTCCCCGGTGGGTAGGTGGCTGCCAGTGTCTGTCTGTGGGTACAGTGTCACTTCCAGTCTGTCTGGTCACCTTTTCACACATGTAGTGCTGCTGTCTTGAGGTCCTTTTTCCCTGGAGCCCCACGATATGGGGTGGGGAAGCAGGGCAGGAATGATGCTGTAAGCAGAGTGCTTGCAAGAACTGAAGTGGTTTATGCTTTTTATTAAGAAAATATGTTTTGTTTGGGTATTTTGTTGGGGTTTTTTGGTTTTCTTTTTGAGTGGATGCTAGTAGGGTTTGGTCTGGCTCTAGTCCCAGGGCAAAGGAATTTATTCTTATATTTAATGGGAAGAGCTGGCTTTGCACAAGGGTGGAGCTGGAGAAATCCTGTGGACTTCAGCGTGAGCAGCTGTTGTGGTTTAATTTTCTTTACAACTATCATCTTGTTTATGGGAGGAAAAAAACCTGCTTTTCCTCCCTGTCTGAAGATTACTTTGTTCCTCCAAACCACTTCCCAGGTGTTAGTGATGAGAATAAACCTTCCCTGTGCACACTGGTGTCAGCTCTGGTTTGTCTCCTTTCCCTGGTAAGGCCTGAAGTGATTCCTCGGCTGTGGTGACCTTCCCAGGAACCACCCAGGGCATCCCCTCGCTGTGTGGAGAGCTTGGTGGTGGTCAAAACCCCTCCTGCAAGGTTTTCCTCCTCCTCTTCCAAACCCCTGGCCCCCCAGAGTGCCTGGCTGCAGTGTGTGAGCTGTCTGGATGCTGAGCTAGTACCACTTTCCCAGGGCTCATCTAAGCATTCACCAGGGTTAGACCAGTAAAGCTGGTCCTGGCTGAAGCCACCAGCGAGGTTTAACCTGCTCCCTGGGTCCTGCACAAGTGCTTCCCACTGCTGTTGCCATTCCAAGGTGGTTGCTGCTGTGCTTTATCACATTCCAAAGCTTCGTAATCCTGTTATTTTAGCCCACGGGTCTGTATTTTTAGGGCACAGCTGTTAGTGGTGGGAGTGAGGGGTTCAGGGAAATGCATCCTAAGTTCTCCTGAGTAATTCCATGGATTTAGGCCTGGTAGCAATGAGCTGCTGCAGGGTTTAAGGCTCTCTTGTCTCGTGCAGACCTTCAAGTGAACCTCTGCTGCCCTCCAGGTGCTCCAGCCTCCTGCCCACCCCATGTGCTGCCAGTTCCCAAAGGATTGACCCTGGGAACTGCTGCGTGCCCAGGGCCTGAGCAGGATCCTGAGCAGCAGAGCACACAGGAATCCTGCAGATCTCCTTCCTTTGATGTGCAGAGGAAGCCCCAACAGCGAGGGAAGAGACATCCTGGCTTCCCAGGGAGTTCAGCCTGAACTCCAAGCAGGAAAACAGAGCCTCCCTTCAGCTCAGCCAGCTCTGCCTGTCCTGGGGCAGCAGCACAGCAGCAGATCCAGCTGGTGAGATAAAACCACTTGTCCTACCCCTCTGCAGTTCACTTCTAAATTACTGCAGGGAGTGTCTGCCAAGAAAGCTCCTGCATTGTTCCAGTGAGTGGAAAGAGCAAGATTTGGGTGGATGCTTTTGCAGTAAAAGCTTCACTGTTTTAAGTAGGAAGAAATAACAAGGCCGAGTTAAGGTGTCACCACATCAAATTTAAAAATTAAATAGTATTTTAATAAGAAACTTGTTTGACAAAAATAGTTTTCATCAGCTAGCAGCATCACAAAGGCATGTCTCAAAGTTTGAGGAAGAACTCTGTTTCAAATTCAGTGACTATCTAAAATGAAGGCTTTTCCTGAGCACTGCAG